CCGCCGCCGCCGTCCGTCCGATCGGACCGGACTCGGGCACGTGTGCGGGTGCGGGTCGACCTTTACACTATATTAACTTTTTGGACAAAATTTATTTAAAATTTTGGGCCAAATTGTAAATAATCAAATTCTTGGGTACAAAATGAAATTTAAATTTTGGCTTATTCCGGGTGTTTTATTTTCTTTTAACAGTTGACTGTTTCGACTGTTTACCGACCAAACAGTCGACTGTTAGCCGACTGTTAACCGACTTAACAGACACGACTTTTAAGAACAGTATGTATGTTCGAATTTTTGAGGCTTGTCTGAAAGGTGATGACTGTTCGAATGGCCACGAACAAGTCTATAAATAGCCAGCCTTTCTACCAGAAAATTTACACCATTTTCATTGCAAACTTTCTGTGCTTTGAATCTCATTTCCCTCTCTCTCGTTCTGATATTGTCTCGAAATAAAAAACACTTCGTTGAGTTCGTTGGAACTCCTACAGACTGCAGTGCTGCTTCCGTAGGAGACAAAAAATTCGTTCTATCCTGGGAAACGATTGCTGGACGCCTTTAGCACCATTGAAGGCAGCAAATTCGTTTTAAGGACACATCGTGAAGTCGGTGGGCTCGAATTACAATTTCGGATCCTGTTGATCAATTCTTGCATTCAGGTAATTCTGTCGGATTGTTTTCGAAGGAGTGAATTCAAACTCTAGAAACAACATCGTCATCCTGGACAAGATATGCTAACTAATGAAGATTGTGGATAAAAATGTAAATGAAAATGTTGGAGAGCATGAGTGAGGCAATGAATTAATATTGGATTCCATAGTGCAATTAAAAAGATATGGTATAAAAGAAAATTTGAGCAACAATATTAGTTAATATTTAACACTACTAGTATTAAAACAAAAGTCTGTGTGACACTAATATGGCATTAAATGAGAATTACAATTAAACGAATTACTTAGCCCCCATTTAGCTCCACCCTCCCCCACCTTTTTTCAAATTTTAATGTTTGAAATAGGTTTTTTTTTTTTTAAATAAAATTAGTGGTTGAAAAAAAACAAGAATTTTTTTTTATGTGTAATATTATTTTATGGAAGATTGTATAGCTGAAAATAAGAGAGAGAGAAAAAATCAAAAGAAAAAGGAAGCCAAATGGGGCTTAATTTCACATTTCATTGAATCTATCACATAGCACTATCTACATTGGGATAACAACACCATGGTATAATAACACCATGGTGCTAAACAACATTATCTATATCTAGAGGGCATTTGAGCCCAATTTTTATGGAAAAACACATGCATTTTAGAATAGTAGATTGATAGGAAATGTGTGGCTAAAAAATAAAAAATAAAAATTTCATTTACGTGTAATATTATTTTAATAAATAATGTGTGATTGAAAAGAAAAAAGAGAAAAAAGTATTTTGGAAAGAATGTGAATCAAACAATGCTATATAAACTATTAAATATCCCATCAAATGAGAATTTATTTATTTTTATACGATCCTATCCTTGTTATAATTCAATTATTTCAATAATACTTTATTTTTCATTTTTAAATATGTATTTAATTTATTAATCATTTGAACCATTTGAACAATCTATAATATATTAAATATTACATTAAGTGAATTATTTTTTGGGCAATTCTATCCTTACTATAATTCAATTATTTCAATAAGAACTTTTCATTTTTCAATATGTATTAATTATTTCTATAATAACATACTTTTCATTTTTCAGTATATATTTAATTTATTTAACCATGTTTGAAATATTCGTTACTTTTTCGTTTTTTTTTTCAATATGTATTTGATTTATTTAATCGTTTGAACAATATTATCATTAATTATTTTGTCAATTATTTAGTTATGATCAATGTATATTTGACAAATTCATTTTGATTGTACAATAAATTAAATTCATTAAAAATTTAAAAAGAAAAAAGATGAATATTTTTTGAGTTTTCTTCGAATTGATTTATTCAATGAACGTTAAGATACATAGAAGGTAAATGAGGGAACGTAATGCGTATCTATAAAAATAATTTCAATTGATATATTCAATCCATATTAAGCGAATATGAAGAAATGATGATATTCGTTGAATGTTCAGTTCAGATCAAAAGGGTAAATGAATGAACTATTTTTAATTAACTTCCTCAATTATTTAAATTGTTTTCACAAATTAATTCTTATTTCATTCCACATAAACAATTTGTATTAATTATTTTTTATAATCTCACATATTCAAATATTATTTTTATATTAACTATAAAGCATCAAAATAACGTGCAACACACGTTCAAATATGACTATGTCTTATATAATATACCGTTATGCACAACAGTGTGTGTATTAGTGTGTGCGCGCACTTGCATGTATAAATTTTTTTATGGTCATTTAAATTTTTGGTTAAATTTTAGGTGGGAGAGCCCAGGGCTAGCCCAAGCTCAATTAGCATTTTTACATGTTAAAAAATAAATTTTCATAGAAATCGGCTATCAAACCTTCGAAGTAAAATACTGCAGATCAAGTTCTCCAACAACTACTTTTTCATGTACAAGGTATGTATAAATTTCAGTATATATCATTCGTTGGTGAAAAACATGGTTATACGCCCATGAACCATTAACATTGTTACACACCATATAATGAGCTTTTGCAAATAGAGTTAGCTACCTAACAAGTTCGATAGAAGTTTCTGCTAATGCAATCTATGGACCATACATTTGAAGGTCTTAAAGAGAAATTAATATACAAAGAAAAGTGAAAAGAAAAAGAATGAGAAACTGCTAATGCAATTTATGGACTACAAATTTGAAGGTCGTAAAAAGAAATTAATATACAAAGAAAAGTAAAAAGAAAGAAAGAAGATAAATAAATAATGTTCTTGTTCTAATTTTTGTCTATAGACTGAACATCTTTTTCCTCTACCAAATTTAGTCTATCAACAAATATTTCTAAGGCTTCATTCATCCATTGCTGCTTGCAAACCTCTCTAGCTTTAGCCACTGTCATCTGCATATATAATTCCATTGAATTCTCATAAGTAAACATCTCCAACAAATTATTCATATCAATATTTTTTCTCATATTTCTATTAAATAAAGATGATTCGAGACAGAGAGAGAATTTAACTGATACAATACTGGGCTAGAAAGTGGACAAATATGTTACATATATCTTTTCTTTAATTTTTATTCTGGTGCAATATGCCAAACATGGACAACAAAATACTACGTTTTGTAGGAAAGGCTTTATGTGAAACGAACCCATTCTCTTGATCGCATACTCTTTTCCGGCCATTGATCAAGTTGTTCAGTCACTAATAAAGGAAACATTAGACCTTCGTGATAGAGTTCTCGGCTATTGCTCTTGAATAGCCATGTACCTAACTGACTCTGCAATACGTGGAGAACAAAAAATTGTCAAATATTTGTATAAACTATACTCCTCTTGGTTGACACAAAGGTTGTACAGAGTGACACCGTTTATGTATAACATTCGCTAGGAAAAAGGAATCAGTATTTAAAAATTTAAGGGTTTAGTGAACTTTCATTCTGATTTCAATAGATTTACCAGACTTTATTTTGTTACAACTTGTCACTTATTTAAGTTTTTGCTTCATACAAACAATTTCATCGAACCGAGTGAGCTTGTCGAATAGAAAATTGACATAAAACATAAATTTCTACCATGCATTTTACGAATTTTATCAACTTTTCAATACACATTACATCAATTTTTATCAAATTCTGCTATTTTGTTTATTTATTTATTTATTTTTTTTTTATCAAAAGCTTTATCAAACAACCTCCAAGACCTAACTAATTTTTTTGTTCTTCAAGCTATCTGACTTGAAGGAATGATTTTACTACTAAAATTGCACTTTGCCATTGGAAAATATTGGTTGGATCACTGGTTTAACAACAAATTAAACCATGTTTGGCCCTCATTTTAAAACTCAATTTTTTTATAAACTCACCTTTAACCCCCGCAGTATTTCAATAAAATAATTTTGAACTTGGATCCATAAATTTTCCCTATTTTTAATTACATATTCTTCAAAAGAAAAAAATATTTATAACAAAATTCATTCTCAAAAAATCTCTATCAAACCATGGCTTAGTCATGTACTTGAACTTGAAGATGAGACATAAAATTTACCAACCTCAACATTGCCAAGAACACCGGCTTCCTCTAATGACTCACGACAAGCTGCTTCTTCAACAGATTCATCAAGGTCCCAACCTCCCTGATCAAACATATTTTTATCTCAATATCAGCACCATTTTTTAAACAATATGAAATGAACACTTTCAGAAAATTAAAGAAAATGAAGAAAAATATACGAAAGGGAATCTCTTTTCCTCGGAATAGAAGTTGTAATCCCTTTATCTGAAAGGCTATAAAATATGCAATGAGTCTCATTCCGGCACTTACAGAAATACCCTAAACCGTTTCCAATCGGTCCGACTTACACAATTGACAAGGTCTATTACCTTTGGAAACATCATTGTTTGACGTTTTTTTGAATTGATCACAAGAACTTCTAACTCGTCAACTGTGCCTCCATTGTTACCATTCTTATATCTATATGGAATGCACCTTCAGAATTAATAGAGTGTTAGAAAATATTTTACATAAAAAAATCTATTTTGCCTATGTATAGTGTATACAATTAAAAGAAAAAGATAAGAACAAAACAAATGCCTTTATTTTATTTTATTTTCCTGGTTTCATTCTTTGTGGATCTGTTCTAAAACAGTTCGAGCATGTTTCAAAAGCTCGACGGGATGACTTAACATAATTAAAGAAAGGACGGGTGTCTTAAAACTTGATTCTTATTCTTTCAAACATAACATACACGAATTGAACTTCCTGATAGCCGAGCAATTTTTTCTCAGTGAATTAAGGCTTCTTATTTCATAAATCATAACAAAAAATGCAATTTTTTACTCTTTCATATATCAGAGATTTCTATTGGAAAAGAAAAAAATATGTTCTTGAAAAAATACTCGCCAGGTGCGATATTGAATGCGTTAACTACAACAACACACAAGTCACCACCCACAGCGACTAGAACGTTGAGGCTAGAAAACCCAAAAACTTACCCTACAACAAGTCTTCGACCACTGTTGTACCTCTGCAAATGCCTCCCAGTGCGAGCAACCAAACACACCATCTTTCTTTCTTTTTATGTGAAGAGATGCAGAAAACAGAAGGTTATTGAATCTTTTATAGTAAATGACGCAAATGAAGGGAAGAGTATACGTTATATATATGGTAAGCGCCAAATAGGAATGGATAAAATAAGAAAAGCAGGCAAAACTGGATTGTTCTTGAGCAAAAAATGGTGGGCTTTGTGTGTACAACTCTCTCTCTCTCTCGTACGTTTCCGTGATGTTTCTCATTAGGTTTTTTTTTTAAATAATACGTTACTTCTCAAGTTATTGTTGCTTACGTGACATAATACTACTTGCTTGATTTTTTATTCTAGTGCTTGAAAAGGATATTCAGGCTTTACTAAAAATGTTTAGTTATTAATACTCCCTCCATCTTAATTATATAGGCTTATTTCATTTTTTACACGGATTAAGAATTCTTTTTTAATGTCACTGGAATATTATTTTTGCTGAGATCTTTCCTAATTTATCCCTATTTAATTTTTAATATGTATTAGTAAATTAATGTTAGAATTAGTAAAAAATTTGAATAATTTAATTTGAAAAAGAAGAAATAAGAGTTGTTCCATATTTCCAAGAAGTGGAAATGTGTATTTGGATGATTTCAAGAAGTTGTCATATTAAGTAGGGAAAAATAAATAAGGATATATTGGTAAATAAACAAAACAAAATATTCAAAATTAGGAACAAGCCTATATATTTGGGACAGGAGAAAGAGGAAGCCCAGCCTGTATAATTGGGATGGAGGGAGTAATTCATTATTATCAGAAGTGTGTATGGTGAGATCTACAATTCCAAGATAAAATATAAATTTGTAAATTCATTATACCTAAAAGTTTATAAGTCACTACAAAAACGTGGCATTTTGCAGTGTGTAATAGCAACATTCATGAATTTGCACAATTGTTAGAGATCATTAATTGTATGTTGTCGTTGATTAATAAATAGATAGTTCATAATAATATTTTATTGAATGTTGTTATTGTTTCCTTTACCAAAGCATTGTCTATTGTCTTATTCTGCTACTCTACAACAATATCGAAGCCTACAACATGTCCATGAATGTAGAAGAATATTTTTTGCCTGTTGCGAAAGATAATTTTTGTTGTGAGTTTAGATGTGTTGGTCCAATAAATTGATAGGCTAATATCATGCTCTTAATTTTCAATGTCACTAATTTTTTTTCTTTTAAGTTTTATGTTGCAAATAGTATTTACAGATCAAGAGATATGTTGAAGTAAAAATACAAATATAAATTTGTGGTCTCTAAATAGTTGAAGTTTTCAAACAAGATTATTCAAAAATAAATAAATCTTGCTCCTTGAAAAGTACCATAAGTTGTCTAGATTTGTCCCGAATTTTCAGTTTGGATAGTAACTTTCTAAATTTAATAAATTTGAATAGCTCAGTTTGAATATGAATTCAAAATTGTGACAAATAGTATTGAGTCATTAAAAACTATCCAAGACCATTACTAAAATTTTGTTGAGATTCAATTCAAATGTAGCTAATAAAGACGATTGGGGGAATATCAACTCCCCATTAAATCTAGATAGAGACCTACAAATTTCATCTATGATTTGATACTATTTTGACTAAAAATTGTAGTCGATAAAAAGTAGAGAGAAACATACACGCATACAAACAAGGACGTCGAGTATTGGATAAACTATTTCAATATAGTGGATTTCACACGAGTTAATAAATCTTTAAGCTATTTAAATTTTCTCTTTTTTGTTTTTGTCATTTAACTTCCTTAGGATTCCCTGTCTTAAGATTTAAACTATATCAGCATTTCCCACGGAAATCATGTGCCAAATCTAGCACCCTACTTTGAATTCAATCTTGTGATCTCTGCTGATTTGAACTTTTAGGATTGTGTTTCTTGAAAAAGACAAAAACAAAAGATGCCACCGCGTTTGTTTCATTTTAGGGTTGGTCTATGGGTACATAAGGGTTGGTACATAATGGTGTCCACACCCTCACATGAGGGGGGCCCGCCTGAATATAAATATTCAGGCGGGCCCCCCTCATGTGAGGGTGTGGATACATTATGTACCAACCCTTATGTACCACAAGGGTTTTCTTTCATTTTATTACAGCAGAGTTGTGTTCTTTGACTCGAATAGCAACACCCAGTATGTTCAAATCACCTAACTTTTGATGTAATCAAATGAGCTAGGTTGGTCGGAACACCTAGGTGATTGGCAATTCACGACTCTTGTCCTTTTGAGAAATTAAAAACGAAAATCATTAGTGCCCTCGTAGGCCATTAAGTCATGACAAAACCCATTCTTTGTGTATCTAAGCAAGTCGGCCCGAGGCATGATTTTCTTAGACCATGTTGTGTCAAACCGTCTAAGCGCCAAGGCTACAGACAGTTCATCCAAATTTACCTCTACTTAGACATCAAAATATATTATATAAAAGAAAATCTCATAATTTTGAGCACTATGGTAAGTGAATTACAACTTTTTCTATTCCACAATGATAGTTATTATAACATTATGTGGAGTTTTCGAATTCAATTCAAATTTTTGTTAAGCATACAAATTCAATTCAAAATTTTATGCTTCACAAGTTAAATTTTAAAATTAGAAATGTTGAAATAGTTGTTATTTTAGCTCCAATTCTATAATTTGATGAAATATTCCATTGAAAACATAACTATAGTGGAAATAGTTTGATTTGAACAATTCAAAAGTCAACTTTTGTGAAATTTCCTTGAAAAATAATAGTTTTCGAATTCTTTCAATTTCGGTATATTTTGTATACAAATATCTATTCATTTTCAACTTTAATATCTTCCACTTCACGTAAATAATGGTTATAGGTGCTTTATTAAGTTAAGCACGACTGATCAATGTATTTGAGTTGTCCAAAATCTATTTCTCTACAATTTCGAAAACTTAAGCAGGTCGGGTCAAAGAAGACTTTTTCGGATCTATACTAGTGCCAAAATAGGGGGGTTGGACGCACGGCTTAGGGCTTGGGGCAAGGAACTTTTACAACCTTTAACTTTTTCTGTAAATCTTATCCTTTAAATTTTTTTGGGTATTTTGATACCAAATAAATTTGGGACGATGATGATTCGTTGGATAGTATTAATAATCAAATGGTTCGTTTGGAACCTATTGTTGAGACTATTTTAATAGTAGACCCAATGCATACAATATCGGAGAGCCCACATACCAAGGTGAATTGGATCTTATTTAGGTCCCGACCCATTACTTAACCTAAATTACCCTATGTATGTTTGCCCCCTTTGGTGTGTTTCATAATACACGCTATTATTTTCCCACTCTCGCTCTTCTCACCCCCGAATAGGATTGTAAGCAAAAATCGCCAAATCGAAAAATCGAACCGAAATTGCATTTTAGAAACCGCCGATTTGATACCACGTGGACCCATCAACGAAATGATTTTAAACCAAACCAAATGGTTTGGTTTAGATTTGAGAATTTTAATTACGATTTAAAAAAACCGGATCGGCGAAAAAATATATAAAAATAAAAAAATGAAATTTTTTGAAAATTCATCCAAATATGTAAAATTCAATAGTTTTGTGACTTTTGTCATTTGTAGGTATTTTTGTCAACTTTTAATTTTATATTACATATATATTATTATTACCCAATAATCCTAATTAGTTGTTATCATTATTATTTATTTTTATTTTTTTGTCAATTTTTAATTTTGGGAAGAATTCACAAATTAGGTTTTAACTATGCCTAATTCAAAATTCAGGTTACAAGTTTCATTAATGTAAAAATCAGGTTTTAACTAATTAATTAAAAATATTTTTAAAAAAAGATAATAAAGTCACAGTTATTCGATTAATGGTCACAGATTCATAATTATAGGTCACAAATTTATTTACAGGTCACATATTGTCAACTTAATTAGTCACAAATAAAAAAAAAATTGTATGTCACAGATTATTTCAAAGTCACAGATAATTCAAATTACAAGTTACATTTTATCTATAAGTCACAAAGGTCACAGTTTGTTGGTCACAAATTATTTTTTAGTCACAAATAACAAAATTGTTGGTCATATGCACCAAACACCCAACCCTGATACTGATTGACCATTAAATTTTGGTCACAGACGTCTAAATAGTTAATCACGGATGTCTAATTATTGGTAACAGATTCCCACCCATCACTGTCACCACAACCACCACCGCCATCATCATCAATAGCAACACAACAATAGTTGGGCACCACCGCCTCTAGAACCACCATCATCTCACCAACATGAGCACCAACGTCTCCTACCACCACCATCATTAGCAACATCATACTCGTAACACCACCATGCCCACAACACACAACCACTGCACAACGCACCACCCACAGCACACCACCACAACCGCCACCACCATCTCCTCTATCTCCATTTACACCCACCCAACCACCACCCCCATGAAGAATCCATAAACCCACCACCACCACCACCACTATCACAACACAGTATCACCGCCTGCACAACCACCACCTCAAAAAGCAACAAAAAAGTCCAAAAATCATAAGAAAAACCACTGCACAGTGCTACAAAATCGCAATAGAAACCTCTGCCGCGCAACCACCACCTCAAAAATGCAAGAAAAAATGTCAAAAAATCACAAGACAAATCTCTGCCTGTGCAACCAGCCACGACGATGCCATGCAACGCCGCTATAAGAGCTGACTCCGATGCTCACAACTCGGATCAATGGTGTGACTTCGACTGGCAACGCTCATATTGCCAACTGCGATGGCACCGTATTGCAACAACTATGCCGCCGCTCGACCCTCACATCTTTGGTGACTACGACTGTGCTCCTCAACGTTGATGGTTGTCGACGGAGGGTAGAGAGAGAAGAGAAGTCAACATGAGAACTGAGAAGGGAGAAGGGATTGAAAATTGAAAATGGGGAAAATGATTAGGGTTTTTAATTGAATTGGGGATTAATTATATATAATACCTGATTTTTGTACAAGTAAACTTCAACCTTGAATTTTGAATTTGAAAATTTAAGTACCTGAATTTATGTAATTTTCCCTTTAATTTTTGTCTTGAGCCCAGGGCCTCCAAAGCCAT